TTTCGTAAACACTTTTGTCTTTATTGTTTAGCGACTAGTTACAGAAATCTTGCTTAACATTGAAGCAAAAATATAAAGGGCACTTTAAAGGAAAAGTGGCATGGTCACTCTGTATAAAAATTCTGGAAATGGCTTATTCGTTCTTGAAAAAAAAGGGGATTATTGCGTGGCCATTAAATCTCAACATTACTTGTCAACATTTAGTCAAACTGCAAATTTTCATGTACCACTTATTTTTCTCTAAACTGGATTAAACAAATAATATTTTTCAAACTTTGCTGTATTTATCATAATACTAGTTACATATTTCAGAATTCACTGAATTACGTGAAAGACTTAAAATAATGCTACATAACGAATGATGTCTCATATGTTACGGCTTAAGAAAAGAATTCTTCACCGAAGGAATGCCACCTGCCTTGCCATTTAATGTTGACATTCTTCAAGAAATCATGGGGGCATTTCAGAAGTCTGTCACCTTCCTGATGATAACACCATCAAATCTTAAATGGGTCACTTACTTCTTGTAAGTTATTACATCTTATAAGTTATTTGGCGCCAACTACTGCTATGGCAATCATTTCAAATCGATCAGCAATGTGCCTGCCTTCTCCCCGCATACCACAGGCCGGGTGCATGGTACGAGTATGATAGCTTTTGGTAACATCATCAAAGAGGATCGGCACTTCGGTACTTTGAAATCGCCAAAAAGCCTGCTTAGTGCTGTCTTTGACTATTTCCTATCGCATGCCCATTATTTGCTTCAGTAGCTGCCAAAAATTTAAAAAGGTGAGTGGAGCGTGTATCGACAATATAAAGTTACTATCTCACTATTTATTGGGTTCTTCGAAAAATAGTTTAAGAAGGTTAATGGTAACATTTAGCACAAATAAAAAGGAAACATTGAAAAAATATGCAAAAAATTGATTGCAAAAAGATTACGATGGAAAAAATGTTTGCGGAGACATACGGTGGACTCCCGATGACTCGAACCCTCGCTAATTCGAACCTTGCGCTAACTCGGACCAAAATCGATTTCCCCTGGATTTCCAACACACATTCACTATAATTTTACCCTCGGTAACCCAAACCCTCGATAACTCGAACTCCCACTAACTCGAACCAATTTTCGTTTCCTCTTAGGTCATTTTCTATATAAATCACCCTCGATAACTCGAACCATGTTTTGAGCCCTTAAGCTCAAAGCCCTTTAGAGGTATGTTTTAATTTCAACTTGACATTTCTTTAATTAAATGTGATTAAAATGTTTACTGTGCAGTAACAACTGTTTTTAACCTTACTCTCGGCTATTTTCTTCGAGCTCCCACTAACTCGACCTTTTTTCGATTTCCCTTGAAGGTTAGGTTCGAGTTACTGGAAGTCGACTGTATATGTTTTAAGGACATGTTTTCAAAAGATAATTTCTCTGTAGTGATGGACAGTGATGTGTAGGGATGGATAGTGGTGTGTAGTGATGGACAGTGATGTGTATTAATGGAGAGTGATGTGAAGTGATGGATAGTGATGTGTAGTGATGGACAGTGATGTGTAGTGATGGACAGTGATGTGTAGTGATGGATAGTGATGTGTAATGGTGGATAGTGATGTGTCATGATGGATAGTGATGGGAAGTGATGTGTATTGATGGATAGTGATGTGAAGTGATGGATAGTGATGTGTAGTGAGGGCAGTGATCTGTAGTGATGGACAGTGATGTGTAGGGATGGATAGTGGTGTGTAGTGATGGACAGTGATGTGTATTAATGGAGAGTGATGTGAAGTGATGGAGAGTGATGTGTAGTGATGGACAGTGATGTGTAGTGATGGACAGTGATGTGTAGTGATGGATAGTGATGTGTAATGCTGGATAGTGATGTGTCATGATGGATAGTGATGAGAAGTGATGTGTATTGATGGATAGTGGTGTGTAGTGATGGACAGTGATGTGAAGTGATGGATAGTGATGGGCAGTGATGTGTAGTGATGGACAGTGATGTGAAGTGATGGATAGTGATATGTAGTGATGGGCAGTGATGTGTAGTGATGGATAGTGATGTGTAGTGATAAATAGTGATGTGTAGTAATGGAGGGTGATGGTGATGAATAGTGATGTGTAGTGATGGACAGTGATGTGTATTAATGGAGAGTGATGTGAAGTGATGGATAGTGATGTGTAGTGATGGACAGTGATGTGTAGTGATGGACAGTGATGTGTAGTGATGGATAGTGATGTGTAATGGTGGATAGTGATGTGTCATGATGGATAGTGATGGGAAGTGATGTGTATTGATGGATAGTGATGTGAAGTGATGGATAGTGATGTGTAGTGAGGGCAGTGATCTGTAGTGATGGACAGTGATGTGTAGGGATGGATAGTGGTGTGTAGTGATGGACAGTGATGTGTATTAATGGAGAGTGATGTGAAGTGATGGAGAGTGATGTGTAGTGATGGACAGTGATGTGTAGTGATGGACAGTGATGTGTAGTGATGGATAGTGATGTGTAATGGTGGATAGTGATGTGTCATGATGGATAGTGATGGGAAGTGATGTGTAGTGATGGATAGTGATGTGTAGTGATGGACAGTGATGTGAAGTGATGGATAGTGATATGTAGTGATGGGCAGTGATGTGTAGTGATGGATAGTGATGTGTAGTGATGGATAGTGATGTGTAGTAATGGAGGGTGATGTGAGGTGATGAATAGTGATGTGTAGTGATGGACAGTGATGTGTATTAATGGAGAGTGATGTGAAGTGATGGAGAGTGATGTGTAGTGATGGACAGTGATGTGTAGTAATGGACAGTGATGTGTAGTGATGGATAGTGATGTGTAATGGTGGATAGTGATGTGTCATGATGGATAGTGATGGGAAGTGATGTGTATTGATGGATAGTGATGTGTAGTGATGGACAGTGATGTGAAGTGATGGATAGTGATGGGCAGTGATGTGTAGTGATGGACAGTGATGTGAAGTGATGGATAGTGATATGTAGTGATGGGCAGTGATGTGTAGTGATGGATAGTGATGTGTAGTGATGGATAGTGATGTGTAGTAATGGAGGGTGATGTGAGGTGATGAATAGTGATGTGTAGTGATGGACTGTGATGTGCAGAGATGGACAGTGATATGTAGTGATGGATAGTAATGTGTAGTGATGGACAGTGATGTGTAGTGATGGACAGTGATGTGTAGTGAAGGACAGTGATGTGTAGTGATGGGCAGTGATGTGTAGTGATGGATAGCGATGGATAGTGATGGATAGTAATGGATAGTAATGGATAGTGATGGATAGTGATCTGTAGTGATGGATAGTGATGGGTAGTCATGGATAGTGATGGGTAGTGATGGATAGTGATGGGTAGTGATGTGTAGTGATGGATAGTGATGGATAGTGATGGATAGTGATGGATAGTGATGGATGGTAATGGATAGTGATGTGTAGTGATGTATAGTGATGGATAGTGATGGATAGTAATGGATAGTGATGGATAGTGATGTGTAGTGATGGATAGTGATGTGTAGTGATAGACAGTGATGTGAAGTGATGGATAGTGATGGACAGTGATGTGAAGTGATGGATAGTGATATGTAGTGATGGGCAGTGATGTGTAGTGATGGATAGTGATGTGTAGTGATGGATAGTGATGTGTAGTAATGGAGGGTGATGTGGGGTGATGAATAGTGATGTGTAGTGATGGACAGTGATGTGCAGTGATGGACAGTGATGTGTAGTGATGGATAGTAATGTGTAGTGATGGACAGTGATGTGTAGTAATGGATAGTGATGTGTAGTGAAGGACTGTGATGTGTAGTGATGGGCAGTGATGTGTAGTGGTGGATAGTATAATGTGTAGTGATGGACAGTGATGTGTAGTAATGGATAGTGATGTGTAGTGATGGATAGTGATATGTAATGATGGATAGTGATGGGTAGTGATGTGTAGTGATGGATAGTGATGGATAGTGATGTGTAGTGATGGATAGTGATGTGTGATGATGGATAGTGATATGTAATGATGGATAGTGATGGGTAGTGATGTGTAGTGATGGATAGTGATGGATAGTGATGGATAGTGATGTGTAGTGATGGATAGTGATGTGTAATGATGGATAGTGATATGTAATGATGGATAGTGATGGGTAGTGATGTGTAGTGATGGATAGTGATGGATAGTGATGGATAGTGATGTGTAGTGATGGATAGTGATGGATAGTGATGTGTAGTGATGGATAGTGATGTGTAATGATGGATAGTGATGTGCAATGATGGATAGTGGTGAGTAGTGATGTGTAGTGATGGATAGTGATGGTTAGTGATGTTTAGTGATGGGTAGTGATGGATAGGATGGGTAGTGATGTGTAGTGATGGATAGTGATGGGTAGTGATGGACAGTGATGGGTAGTGATGCAGAGTGATGGATAGTGATGGATAGTGATGGACAGTGATGGGTAGTGATGGATAGTGATGGGTAGTAATGGACAGTGATGTGTAATGATGGATAGTGATGGGTAGTGATGGACAGTGATGTGTAGTGATGCAGAGTGATGGATAGTGATGTGTAGTGATGGGTAGTGATGGATAGTGATGTGTACTCATGTGTAGTGATGTGTAGTGATAGGTAGTGATGTGTAGTGATAGGTAGTGATGTGTAGTGATAGGTAGTGATGTGTAGTGATGTGTAGTGATATGTAGTGATGTGTAGTGGTGTGTTGTGATGGGTAGTGATACATAGTTATGAGGAGTGACACATAGTTACATGTTACATGAAGGTATTTTAACCGGTTTTTTAATATTCGTGTAGGAGAACACGGATTTGGTACCAACAACCTCGTCACCAGGGCGCCGCCGGGCTTCCCCTCTTGTCACGCAGAATCATGCGCAATGTCACGCAGCTGTTTGTCTTTTGTGTAACTTCTTGACTTCAATCAAAGTAATCAAAGGCAGGCAAAAAGTATGCAAAGTGAACGTAGGTAAAGTATTGGCATTGGCGGCAGAATGTCTTTTGCAAGTTCCACAGTCACTGTCCTAAGTGGACTTGTAAATACCTTCAAATCAACAATACAATCGAACGAAGTGCCCCTGAAAACCATCGTTGCGGCTTTGTTGCTGTACGGCGTTAAAGAATTTCTGAACGACATCGTCTTCTCTTGCCCGGACAAGAATTTCGAGATTTATGGAAGCCTTTTTATCGTCGGTCCTTCGGTCTTCTTGTTTTGTCTCTCGCTATTAGCTTCCACTCCGTTTTGGCAAGTTGCTACGGGTTGTTGTCTCTTAAGATGCCGTGAACAGAAGATTTTGTGGTCAAAAACGAAGAACGGTGTTTTTGTTGCGTTCATGCCGCCTGTGATATGGGTAATCTACGCTTTCGTGGAAAAAGACTACTACGTCTGTGCCAAACTTGGCCCTCTGAACGCAGCACTTGCTAGAGCCAATTCAAGCGCAGAAAGAAATGCTATTAACCAAGAATTCTCTCAAGCAAGAACTTTGTCGGAGTTAATTGCATGGGGATTGTTGCTTGGGCTTGCAATTTTTTCTACATTATTTGTCACAATTTATCGCGTTTTTATGGCGATTGATCCAAAACTGCTGGGAAAACGCGCCTATCACGAATACGAAGCGGACAAAGCTGTGATGCTTTTCAACGAGAAAATAAAACCTCTCGCGGAGCAAGACGCGGAACAGCTTGTTGACCATTTATTCGAGAAGCACAAAGAGAAAACGCATGAGGATCAGATAATACATATCGAGGAGGAGCTCAAAAAGATATTTCCAAGACATGCAGGTGATTTGAGTGGGCCTTTTCGAGTGGAAACAGAAAGACCAAAATCAGATAGTCCAATTTCGACTAGTTCAGTGGCTCCATCGCCACCTCGTACCAAACCTCCACCAACAGGGGATGTGGAACTACGACCTATTATGTATGTAACACATACATAAGGGTTTTCTGCAGCCATAGCTTGTGAACAAGGCACTACAGTGGGCTAGACTGCAGAATATCTTGCAACGCCATAAATTATTCTCTCAGGGGCTCCTGTCTGAAAATGACAGGTATGCTTGTTGGAAGTGATAACATTCTGGGCATGATTTGGCCCTTAGAAGAAACCAAACTCAAACAGCATTATAGCATTGGTTACATAGGTATTTCCTTTTACACAACTCTAAGCAATACCTTTATGGGTAAAATTGGCTCTCTGTCCAGAACACCCTGTGCGACCAAAATCTTCAATTTTACCCCTAAGCAGGATGATAAGCATCCCTGTCATTTTAATATGGAACTCCCATCTGTACCCAGACATGTAATTTATACATCGTCAGTACACGTCCACATATAGACTTAGTCACTGCTTTATCCGCCTATGTAATCCAGCTCGATTATGGTTGTGTTTTCGTTACGCCAATTTACTAGCTGAACATTCTTTCTAGGGTTTGTTTACAAACCGACTTTTACTAGTTAAACTTGATAACTGTTTTTACTGTGAAATTTAACCTGCAATCTAAGCGTGCCATAACCAAAAATGGCTGGAGACAAAGCTCTGGTAATAATTTCTCTTGTGATTATCCTCACCGTGTTTTTGTGAAGGAAAAGGAGTTTTATTCAGTGAATGGGGCTTATGTCCTTACAAATGATGAGGATGCGACGAAATGTTTTTATTATGTCACTGCAACAACAAAACAACATTCTTCATATGCGCAAGATCCAAGACCACAATCTGGTTTAAGGACCTGGCCGAAGAACCAGAGAAACGCAATGGGGTCGGTGGGATTGTAAGTAGAAAGAAATGATTGTTGGAATTGTTTGCCATGTTGAAGTTCCCAAGCTCAACCATGAGGTGATTGTCTGGCAAATAATATTACTAGATTATTCGGCAAGCGTCTGTCACTAAACATGACCCGATTGGCTGCAGTATTTATCAGGACAAGTTATACCATCTCCTTAGGTAGTATAACTTTGGGTAAATTTCTGCTTAGAAAGGTGAGAAAATCCCTAGTTTTGCTTGTGAAAACAGCTTGCATTTTAACTACCCAGTAGCTGAAAACAGGACAAGGTGTTTCACTGTATTTCCAGACTTTTTCGGCTTTATCTAGTCAAGAAATTTTCGTAATGAAAACACAACCTATACAATGCACTTAGGACAGTACATAAAGCACGGTGGTAGTAGTATGTCTATTTCTTAAACGAACTGAAGATGGGTAATTAAACAGGGTTGATCAGGCTTGGAATGGTAGATTTTTGAATCAGGTATTTTTTCCATTACGGATACTTACGTATTTCCATGTCACATAGACGGTTTGCAGTCCTCCTTTTTTCTTTGATCTGTTCAGTTCTTAGACAGTCAGCGAGAAGGGACAAAAATGCTAAAAAGGGACTGGGGCTTGTGGGTCTTCTTTGCTGACATATAACAATTATATAGTTATTATTTGGAGCCTGGTATTAAAATGCGAAAATGCAGTGCTATGATTGATGGCAATCAGACCCAGTCATAAATGGATTCAACTTAGAGTTTTATGTTTTTTAATCAATAGCCTACAAACAAGCTCGCTGTTAACTTTTTCTTGCTATAGTCAATAACTGGTTAAGTCAAGTCACGAACTGCAAGAGAGCTTTCTCCTAACTGTTCTAATTCTCACTAGAATAAACAGATAACCCTTGAGAATTGCAATCGTTTTTAAATAGTGTTTTGTCTTCTATTTATGTAGACCATTTTTAAAGTCAAGCACCCTAGTAGATGCTTTCATTCTCTTTTTTTATATTTAATGAATAATAAAGGAATAAAATAGTATATTATGAGAATAAAAGTAATGTGATAATAATTATCATTATTTGTTTGTAGCTGGATTATGTACAAATCACGCAAAAATGTTACCTTAAAAGTATCCCAATAATCATTAAGTAAATCAAGGGGCTGACCCAAGTGACTTCTGATAAAGTGCTAGTTACTCTTCACAAATTACCATGTATTTTTTTGTTAAACAAGGGGAGAATTTGACAAGAGAGCAAGTGACAATGATGACCATGCGCCCAAACAATACTCTAATCATGGCGTACCTTTGGGGGATTACTCCCTATGATGGCCTTTACAGGAAACTCCACCTGCACGCCTTTTTCAGGTTTCAGGTGTATGAAAAGGTATGAACATCACCAGTTGAAGTATATGAAAGATTAAGGAAATCTGTCATTTTGGTCTGCAAAAAGGGTGCTCATGGTTTTGTGGTTTATTCATATTTCAAAGACAGGGCATTTACAGCAGTAAAAAGGGATTATGTGAAAGAGGTACCTTTTCAGTCAAAAATGGTTTATAAACCAATGGGTTGGACCTCAGGGCGGAGCCTCCCTGTATAAAACTTTGTTGATTGGCCATATTCCTCATCCATGTTGTTGCCTCCTGCTCCCCATATTTTTTTTCAAGCTTCTGATTTCTGAATTTAAATGGACAAAAAGTAAGAAAAAAGCTCTAGTTTCTATTCCTATAGCCCGGCGAAAACAGCCATTTCTTCTCACTCCTCGCCGCTTGGGATGTTTCGAAGTGTCCCAAGAAGCAAACAGCGAGGATCTGAAATGGCTGTTTTTGCAGGCTACCATTCTTAGTAATTACTAGAAAAGGCAATAGTGAAAATATTTTTTAAAATACAACATCTGATTGTGTGAACTAGACGGTTCAAGGCGTTCAGATAGTAGAGAGTGGCGAAAAAGACTAGGGAGCCAGGCCTCATTTCTTTCCCTCGTTTTCCCTGCGTACGATTTAACTCTCTCCCCATCATCTGATCACCTGGACCAGGCTATGTGAAGTCATGAGTGAGCTACCATGAAATAGGGCAGTGTAAATTTCACGACAGGTAACTGATCAATAATGCTCACTTACCTAGTTCTGTCACTAGGCATTTTCAAGACCCTGGACTGCACAGCAAG